GCATTAATGATGATGAATTATAAAACTATAACATTGTGGTCCATTTCTGCATATTGGGAAAATCTTTTAAAGGACAAACCAGCATACATACAATTTAAGAGTCAATATTATTTTACTCAAGTGATTTAAGTTACGAATAATTTTTATAATTAATTCGCTTTATTTCGAGCACAGAAATTTTTCTATTTTGTTCACTTTAAATTATTTAAATACAAAAAATCGACGCAACCACCACCGTCAACTGTCTCCGGCAACTTCCCTGTCAATACTGACTAAAAATTCACTGCGATCAATTATAAAACTCCTTTCACCACACTTCATATTTCGATGTGCTAAATAAAATTAATAGTAAAATGTTTTGAAATATTTTCAATTTAAATAGTGTACACTTTTTTGACATTTATTTATTCAAAAATTATTTTAAATGAAATTGAAAATATATTTAACAAAATAGTAAACATATTATAAACTATTTACTTTTTCCATATTAATTCTTTTTGTGAATGGCGATACTCTTTGTAAATTATTTAAATAATAAAATTACTGTACAAAATTGTATTTTAAGTCAATTTTGTTTTTGTACATAAAACAAAACAGACACATAACACAAAGTTAAAGATGCATTATAATAATTAATATTATTAATATGTAATAATATAATTATATTATAAAATATGGTTATTGCCTTAAATGCTTTATTTTAACACTTATAAATTTACAAACTGCTTTTAATGTACTTGAATCTATCAAACATATTTTATTGTAAAGTATTGATTTATATAATTTTATAAACAGATTTGTAGATAAACATAATATTTATTTTAACCAGTTTTCCTCATTAATATTTCTAAAAATATTTAATATACTAAAATGAAAAATAGTAATAATCCTTTTGTGAAATGTATGCAATAAAGAATAATACTACAGCCCTAAAAGAGCGAAACTTGACATAAGCTTGGTGAAATAACATGCATTGAATACGTGTTGCCACTTGAAAATTTTTTCCTGTACCAAAATTGGTTTAAAAAGGTACCATTTCTGTAAAAAAGGTTCAAAAGTTTTTGTTTTTCGTTCTGTGTTTTTCATAGTGTTGTAAATGAACAAAATATAAAATAGTGAAAAGTTGCATTTATGAAAAAATTAATTGGAAATATCCACAATGAAGTTGAGTCGTCAAAAATGTACCATTTTTTGAACATGAGTACCAAACGAAAAAAAAAGTACCAATTTTGGTACTAAAGTACCATAAGTGGCAACCGTGTATAGAACGGAAACTTAAATGAGCACAACACAAAATAACAAACACACTCTCAGAAATTGCACTAAACCATCTCAAAACGTATGATTATTTCCAACTTGAGCAAGTGAAGGTCCTTATTCGCTCCGAATACGCACCTTAACTTGCTCCGAATACGAACCCTAAGTTACTCTTAAAAAAAATTTTATGAGCAATGAGTGCAATTTTTCTTGACAAAAAATTTGATTGCACTGCGCTATATTTAAAAAAAATTACCGCGCAATTGATTGTTAAAAAGTAGTAAAACTAATTTGCGCCCAATATTAGAAAAAGTATAAAGCCAAAAATGATCCAAGTGATTTAATTATAAATTTTTTTGAAACAATAATAAAGTAAGTAAATAATAATAATTAAGATTTAAAAATATTAGTGTATATAATTAATAAATTAATGTTTTGTAGATGGTGACACATTGTGTTAGAGGCTATGCCACGTACAAGACGTTATACAAATTTCCAGCAAACGATTATGAAGGAAGGTAAGAACGCAATTGTTATTATTTGTTATACTATAATCTGTGAAATATTTGAAATATGAAATATTTCTTTGGCAAGTATTCGTATTCGTGTATTATGTTTCAGTACTGTGCAAATAGTAATAAGAAATACCATCAGTATTATTTTTTTATATGTTTTACAGCTATTGTATTTAAGTATTTTAGGACGCTACATTTTTAATAATAAGTTTATTATAAACATGTTTATTCTATATTTACTTATTTGTCTAACTATAACCGTTTGAGCATTGTATGAATTGTATTCATAATAACTGAATATTTTTTAATTACATAAAAGATAACGAAAAAATTTTATATGAATTATAGGAAACTTAGATATGTCTCTAAAAAAGAACACATTTAATTTCATGTTATTTGATGTTTGAACTATTTGCAGTAAAACAATATTGATAGGCTTTCAAAAACATAAATTTTTTAAAAACATCAAAAAAGTTTGAAGTAATTAATTTACAACACAACTTTTATTAAAAAAATTTCCCCAAAACTAATAATACATAAAATAAAAATTATAATATTTAATTAATTAACCCGAAATGTTTATTAATAATATTCACCACAAAAATTAACGATGTGCACGCACACCCTTGCGCATCAACTATCTATTCGGTACTGTCTACAAAATTCGTTTTACGAATTAATAAGAAGGAAAATTTTTTAGGCAATGCTCTATTTTAAAAATGCATTCACCATAATGGAGTGGGCGTGCAAGCAATAAAATTAGTATTAAATATGCGATTGTTTAAAAATTTATTTAAGTTTGAAATAAATTTTTACAATTTCTAACGAAAAACAATATAACATATAATAAATAAATTTTGAAATATTATATTTCTTGAAATGAACAATGCTATATACTCAGTTATTTATTTCTGAAAATAAGTAAAATAAATTGTAATAACACTTTCGATGTGTCTAATACTGAATTACTATTATAAAAATTAATGATTTCTATTTTTCAGTATACAATTCTTTTGCATAGAAGTGTGAATACCCAATTTATAAATATTTTTTTCTTAAATAAGCTATTAACATGGATAACATTATTAACATGATATAATACTGAATTTAATTTCAAAACATTTTTTTTAATTTCAAGCTAAAATATTAAGCTAAAATATTTAGTTGCTTTCAACATATTATATACAACCCTTCTGAACTATTTTCCGCACATCAAAAATATATAAATAGCTAAGAAAAGTGTATAAATAATTGTGTAACATATTCCATTACAATCAAAAAAAACTTTTTGCTTAATTATATGTTATTGTAAATAAATCTATTTAATTTAATAATATTTAATAATATTAATAATTTAATAATATGATTTAATTTAAATCATATGTAATGTATGCTTATATATTCATTTATGAGTATTTGTGGTATATATCTGCTTAAATAAAAACTTGTACAGTAAGTAGTTGAAAAAAAGTTATGCACCAGCCCTGAAAGAGCGTAAAAGTGGCATAAGTGTGGTGTGATCACACTTATTTAATACGTGTGACAGAAATGTTATAAAAAATGAATTTTCTTAAGTAATTTCTCTTAGTTTTGATCGAGGTGGGCGGAGTTTCCATTCTATAAAAGATTTTCTCTGGCAAAGAGTTTCTTTTCTTATACAGATATTCTTTGCTTTTTACACATAGAACAGCTGATTACCTCCAATTTGTAATTATTTTTATTGTACATATGACAACTATTACTTTGGAAAATCTTTAATTCTGATAAATTTATGGTTCAGTCAAGCATTATGATTTATGCACTAAAGCGATTACAGAAATTTTATTTAATTCGAAAAGATTTTGTGAGAAAATACACCAACTCAGCAACTACCTTATCTGCGAAAGGTAATTCTATTTTATATATATTAAAGATTTTTTAAATATTTATTTATGCAGATAGACTTTCCTATTTGGAATTTATACAGTTACGTCAAAGTGAAGCAAAGCGTACTATAGTTGTGCAAGTGAACTCCGAAAAATCATATTTGGAATTAAGTAACTATTGTAAAACGTATGGAAATATTGTAAGTGCACACCACTATGACGTGCAACATGAAGATGATCACCATTATATTTTGCTTGAATTTTCTAATGAAGAAGAGGCATCTGCAGCAATTAACGATTCCACATACAATATAGACTACACAGGCGTGCCAGTTCGCTCACCTTTCCTGTGGTTCAAAGCAACTGACAAATATCAATTAAAAAAAAATGAATTAGCAATGCAACAGATAGGGCTAAATATTGATGGCAATCGTACGATTGACAATGAAAGATTAAATAATTTACTTCTTGCATCATCTTGTATAGAAGATCAAATAAAATTACTGTATCAACAAACTAAATTGAATGATGTGGGGCTCAGATTGCGCTTTTTAGCTGCTCTACAAGTACAACATGCAGTCTCTGGAATGTTCCCCAATGCTAACGCTCAGCCATTTGGTTCATCAGTAAATGGTTTCGGCAGAATGGGCTGTGACCTAGATCTTATATTACGATTAGACAAGGGAGTTATAGGAAAAACGAACACGAAACGGTCTGAGTCACGTTTAGTGTTTCATACTAAAGAAAATTTATCAAATGGACGCTCGCAGATACAACGACAAATGGAAACAGTTGGTGATATGCTTCACTTGTTTTTGCCGGGGGTGTTTCATGTACGGCGAATACTGCAAGCACGAGTTCCAATTATTAAGTACCATCACGAACATTTAAACTTGGAAGTGGACTTGTCCATGAATAACTTGTGAGTATACCTTAAATTTTATAAGTGATTCTGCATTATATCAAATTGAGACAATTGAATTTATCTGAACTTTATATATGAGTCTGCCTGTAAGATTAACAGAGCGATAATACATGAAATATAATGGTGTAAGGATGGCTAGAAAGTAGTTTATGCTGGACATACATTTCGAAAGACAGTCAAAAGTCATGCTACATTTTAAGAAATGTAAATAGAAACTTTTTTATGTAGTTTTGGAAATAGATATATCTTTAAAATCAATTAAACTGTGTTTCTAAATATAAAACTTCGCATCGCATATGAAATGAGATAATTTGTTAAATTTTATTTTCGTCAAATATGACAAAAACCTTTCTATTTAAAAATATGCAGTTCATAATGAATACTAAATTTCAATACAAAATATTTCTTAATTTCTTAGAACTTAGTTAATTTATTATAAAGAAATGTATATTGTTTATTTAATACAAAAATTTCTTAAAACTAGTGCAAACAATAGAATAAACTATATGATTAGAAAATACATTCGGCGGCCTTAAATTTGTTTGAAATATTTTTATTAAAATATGCGCTCTTACTCTTGTCATATTTTAATGTCTGTATGCCCGCGCTTCATCTTCTTCTTTTTTAACTGCTTGTACCAAAATCAAACTCATTACACCGCTAATAACATTAAGCAAAGCCAATGTCATAGCCAGTCCTACAATCCAACCAGCTTTCCCTTCGAAGAACCAGGTTAGCTCATCAACGCAACCATTAAAAAAGGCATTTCCACTGACGGTATCACGACACGAAGAAGGTAAAGGTTGATGCAGGTTCCAATAGTCCCAAGGTCCAGTTGCACCACAACAACCAATATTTTGTTGTATCATATTAAGAACATATGCGGAATATGGATATTCTGAAGTGCTAACAAATCTAAATAATGAAACTTCAAGCAAAGGTTGTAAGCTGGAGTGCATTGTACTATATTCCAGCAACAAGCCACAACCTGCTACTGCAGCTACGAATCCAAATATTTGCGTGCCAATGAACACGAACAGTGCTAATGTGTTTTCCATTAATGCACTGAGACAACCCAAAAAGGAAACAGCCATCATGATAATGCTGAAAGCAATTAATATATAAATACCAATGTAAAATGCCTGCGCCTCAAGTATGCGCAACCAATCATTAAAACCGGGTTCAGCACGCAGCCAAACAGTGAGCGCAAAAAGTGCTGTCGCTATCATCCATGTTATAATATTGAAGCAAAATAGTGTGTACTTAACACAACCTATTTGCTTTTCCAGAGTGTTTTCCTGTTTTCCGTAACCCATCGTTATATATCTGAAATTAAATCTACATTAGTAATCTTTTTTTTTCTCATTTTAAAATTTTTAACATCTGAAGAACTTTTGCAATTTATAACTTCCCACAATATTTTTTTATTCGGTATTTATAAAGACAAGTAACGTTATGGCAACATAACACCGTACATTAGTCACCTTATTTAAAAGGTTTTTTTGTATAAATTTGGAATGGTCTTACAAAAATGTAAGCTTTTTTATCTGAACTTTTAAATAAATAAAGATATCAGTTGTGATGATTAATAGCATGGCGTAATAATTTTCATAAAATCAACACGTTTTAATATTAGGGCGTGTGATTAATTCATAAAAATATAAAAACCATGAATAGTTTAGTTAGTGTAAAAAATTTTTTTATTAAAAAAAAATAAGTTTTGATTTTTTTTATTAAATATATATACCGAATAAGGTTATTGTAAACTTTTATAATGTAATATAGATTTTACAATTTTCTTTTATATTACAACTATTTCAAATATTTATTATATTTTTCAATTAGTCGTAATTGACCATTAAATATGAAAAATTAATTCTATTGCAAAATCAATTATAGAAACTCTTCTTATATATCACTTTGTTTTGTTAATATATTTATTGCGAAATATTTGATAATAATATATTAAATATTTATTTACTTTTACTTTTGTTAATTTTTATAAAATACCACCGAGTATAAGACACAAAAATTGTTGTATTCGACCTCTTTTATTTTCGTTTGTTTCATTCAACTAAAAAAATTTTAAACTGCAACATAACTTTGAAAATAATGAACAATATTCTATTCGCATTCAGTTGAAATCCAAAAACTTTTAAATTAGTGTAGAACATATATGATAAGATAAGATATTTGAGCTTTATTAATATTTATATGAGTATGTAATTGATACATACTCTTACACATTATCAAGCCGAAACCTGATAACAGCTTTTTATGTGCCAAGTAAGATAAGTAATGTAATTATTAAGTCAGGTGTATAAGAGCTGTATATTTGTTTTATTAGACTAATACAAGTGAATCTTATAAAAAATATGTTAAAATTATGTATTAATACATATTAATACTATATTATTATATTAATTTATAATCTAATAATATAGTATATGGTTATGATGTGTTATATTTTAAATATTTACTTTTATTTAATAAATAGTACTAAGTTTTATTCAATAGCCTGAAATTGCTGAATCGAATCTTTATATCTATACCTATTTTCTATTCTAAGTTTTATATATAAAAGTTTTTATATCAAACGTGAATATGAATGCAAGTACAACAGAATAAGATGATGAAATATTATATTGTGGGATGGCAAGGAGAGTATGATGTGAGAAAACGGGTAGAAATATTGAATTCGCTTGCACTTACATACACACAGCAGAAAAAGTCTGCATCCACTCATAAAATTTCTTTTATATTTCGCATAACTTATTTGATTTTTACTGAAATTGATTTCTGTTTTCTGATTTATTTTAATAAAGTTCAAACAAAAAAATTAACAGTTATTCTTTAAACACAATTACATGCAAAAACAATAATTATTAAAGTGAAAAAAGTCTGCGTCCACTTCTTAATATCTACATTTACCGTTAGTTTAAATTTGCTTGCAAGCATAAATGTGTCATTAAATGATATTTAATTATCAGTTGCCAGTTAGACTCCTAAAGAGTTTAAGAATTAATCATTTAAAAATATTTCTTTATATAAACAGTAAACAATATTACAATGAAAAATAAAAGGCGTGAAATTAGTGTTAGTGACCGACAAATAATGTTTAATTTTGGAAAGATGGAGTAAGCCAACGAAAAATTGCTGAAAAAATCGGTCGTCAACATTCATCTGTGCAGACAGTTATAAATAACTTCAAGGAGACGACTGCACTTTCGTTTCTAAACTTCGCACTGATGGCCCTTCAATTCAGATAAAAAAGACGCAGCATAATCAATCAGGTGAAAGTAAATCTAAGAGTAACAAACTCCAAACTAGCGGAACATATTGTCGAAATACTTGAAAAAAAATATGTCCTGATACTGTGCGTAAAATTTTGAAGAAAAGCAAAAAAGAAGCCATACATATACAGATGTAATCTTAATTTTAAAAAGAGAACGTAGATTTTTTCTGCTTTCGAAATTGTTGCTTTTGCATATAATTGTGTTTAATTCTTTTTAAAAATAACTTAATTTTTTATGTTTAAACTTCATTGTTGTTGGTTAATATAAATCAAAAAACAAAAATCAATTTGTGTAAAAATTGAAAAAGTCATGCGAAATTTGAGAAAAATTTTGTGGGTGAAAATTTATTTATGTGTATGTTTATTGCTATGTGTATGTGTATGTAGGTAATATTCAGGCCACAAAATATTCATGCAAAAATTTTTTTCAATGTCTTGTTAGCGGTCTAATAGCACTAGTTCACAAATAATTAAAAATTTGTTTTCCAAAGACAAAACCTTTATTTCCTATTGTGAAATTTTCCGTTGAATTTGAAAATTATAATTTATTAGAAATTTCATTTTGATTTTTTTGATTTTAGTCAAAATATCTTCACTTTTTTGGGTGGAGTTACTGCACATATTATTGCATATCAAATTAAAGCTGACACTTGTACAAATATTTTAAGCTGCCTAATATCAACGTAACTTTATTGGTTTAGCTGCTATAGTTAAAAGTGTACAGATGAGAGATTTCTTTTTACGTTTTTTCAACTTTTTCAATTTGCAATGTAATGGAACATCTAGAGGAATATTAAAAAAAATTTTTTTTTAAATTGATATTAAAGACTTTTAATACAATCGTTTTGAGTGGCAAAACATAAAATCGAATAAAAATTGAAGAGTTATATGCCATGTCCCAAATTTGTCCAGAACTGTGGTTTTTATTAACAAGTCAAACCAATATAGAAAAATCATTTTTTTCGTGATTATTTTGTTAAATTTAAAGTACACATCAAAACTGGATTATTGAAAAATGAACCTTTTACATTGTTCATCACTTTTTGCACCGATATTTGAAAGGAAAAAGTCCCATGAGAGTGCAAGAAATGCATTTTTAGAGACAAAGTTGTCCCAATAACTTTGTAATTGTCAATGAATAAGGAAAAATTTTTTCATAATGCGGATGTTTTTCACTAACTAAGGAGCTGATAACTGTTTGCTTAAAAGAAGTACATGTTTTTAACTTTTTTTATTCACTATGTTATTGAATATTTAATCTTTTATTAGTTTTCTGATTTATGGTTCAACAAAGATTCCTTCTTTAAGTTTACAAAAGTAAGGATGGGGAAAAACCAACAAGATATTCGAAAGCTTGGCTTTCGTTAGCTTGGACTTTAACAACAGTTTTCATAAGACCAAGTTTTATATGCAAGGCTGGCAAAACTGTCTGACATGAGCTTTATTCGCGACTTCATTGTAGATTTCCTTAACCCCAACGGCATGCGCTAAGGGTATAGTGGAAAGTTCATTATAGTTGTTAACAAAAGCAGCTTTTGAACTTAATTGTGAACTGTCTACAAAAAGACGCCCTTCTCTAGCAATATTATTAGCAATTTGTTAAAAAGACCTGTAATTCCTTATTGGAATATATCTGCATAGTGTTTTCCAGTAGTATTGTAGTATCAGTAGTATTGGTCTCTAGCATATACGACAAGAATAGACATACGAAAGTTTCATATATACGCACTTTGTCGTTCTAGTATCTGCACTTTCTTGATTATAGAAGTTTTGAATCTAACTTTCGATGTACTTTTTTGTACGCACCTATACAAACTTAACTCCAGTCTGTCAAATGTTCCATTATTCAATATTGATGCAAAAAATTTAATGTTCTGGAAAGGAATCGTATGGTTTTCTGTTGGTGTTGTCAACATTTCATCTGACGCTGATCTGTTTGTGTTGCAAAACAGTTGCAAAAAGTATTTCCGCGTTGACAGAATTTCTGCTATTGTCTTTCTTTATATCTCTTTTATATTTCAAACAAGGGGATTTATTCTTCGCTATAAATAGTTTTACCTCTTTACAAAACCATAGTCTGCACGCGTTGAATGTTACGACATGGATTGCTCTGTTCCTTCTACAATAACCTGTATGTTTTTAATATTCGATGCTGCCTTTATGGACTTTTCTGTTCTATCATTTAGCAAAACGTAATCAGGTTTGGTATAACTATTTGTTTGATGGGTAGTATATATATTTTATGCTAAATTTTTTTTTGGATGTCTTGTTTCTTGTCTGATCAAAACATTGGAATCAACTGTTTGCAAGTACTGAACACTTCAATTCAGTACTTATGTTAATTCTATCAAAACAAAAAAATCACTGAATGCTTGAATTCAGTGATTTTGACAATTGTCTTAATTATCCTTATCACTGAACTCCTAAATCCAGTGATTAGGCGCTTATGTGACGTAAATTTAGTACTTGAACTAAATTTACAAAGCTAATAGAACAAATAAAAGAATCAATGACGAATGTGGCTTCGCATCAATTGAATGGTCAAAAATTCTATTGTGCCTTTTATTTAAATATTAATAATCAATTACAACAAATAAATTAACTAAAATAACCTTGACCATGTATGCCAAACAATGAACTTGTTACAAACTGCAAGAGTGCATTTTCTTGCAGACGAAATTTGAAGCTTTTGTTTATATGTACAAACAAACGCGAGTGACATAGTCTTACCCCTAACTAATATACCTTAAATATATAATGTAGTGCATATACTTCCAGATTTCTTATTTAACGTAAATATATCATTTTATTGTAAACATAAGCTCAGTAGAACAAAGGCTGGAAATGACGCCTGCAAACTGCAAGCCCAGCATTAATATATCTTTTGTGAAACATTGCAACATAATGAATATAAACATAAACTCAATTAGAATCAACGCTTCTATTTTATTGTAAACATAAACTCAGTAGAACAAAGGCTGAAAATGAGATCTGCAAATTGCAAGCCCAGCATTAATGTATCTTTTGTGAAACATTGCCTTTTATAGTAATGTTTAGAAGCGAAGCTGGAAGTGATGCTTAGATCTTAAGGTTTAGACATAAGTTATTATTCTCATCATAATAATTCAATAAAGGAGAATCAAACGAATCGGTTGTGTTTCACTTTTTATTAAAAGAAAATACAATTTGTA